GAAAATATATTTATGCTAGAATATGGTGTAAATTCTTTACCATTATGGTGTATGATTTGAGCCAATACCAATACGTATTTTACACCAACGGAGTTTATATTATGTTCTAGAAATAAGAAAACTTGTATACCACTAGCATAATATATATGCCGAAAATCAGTAAAAAAAATTTACGGTAGGTGTAAATAATGCACGAAAAAGCGGTATAACCTTTACACTGAAACGAAATAAACTGTTCAAAAACTGCGCTTAGAAATGGCATATTTTTTATATTGAAAATGTATATCACGCCGATGTAAAAAATACACAAAATATTTTGGTGTATATTTGACTTTTGTGCTACTTGAGTTAGAGGTGGTCATACTGATTTGGTTTATTTACGATTTGGTTACAAGTCTAGTACAAATTTAATACATGTATGTATCTAAAAGGGCGGTTGTAGAGCAAAACTAGATAAATACATACATGATTGTATGTATTTTGGATTACGTCTTCCTTTAACAGATTTTGTACATACACACATATGTATGCATTTAAGTGGAAAAACTGAAATAAAAAATTGTCATTTTGGGAGAAAATTCGTCAAAACGTCATTGGGCTAAAATAACGTCAAAATGACGACGTAATCGTCAATTCGGCAACGCTGGGGACAGTGCATGTGATAAAGCTTTTGAGTCAACAACAATTTGGCATTACTTTCGATGCCTCAAAAATTGGGTGGGTGCTATACTTACAGTGACCATCCGTCCTTTATTTTAAAGGACAGTCCTTTATTTTAACCCCTGTCCTTTATAATTTTTTTCCAAAATAAAGGACGCCTTTTGTCCTTTATTTCCTAAACTGTCCTTTAAATCAGCTCTGCATTTTTAAGAGGTAAATTTTTCAGAATATGAAAAATAAAAATGTTCCTTATATAATTATATTCAACAATTTTTTTTTTTTTATAGTGAGCTCGAGGCCATTTTTTAAATGAAAATTTATTGTGGAAAAGCAACAATAATTTGAAAAAATGGTAGAAGTGATAGCTATTTCGGAAATCACCACATTTCCTCATCAGACTTCTTTCAGTAGGATTCGAACCGACGATCCCACTGTAATGCGATCAAGCATACATGTTGCAACCCTACAAATCACCTTATATGAATTCGCCTAAGGTAATAGATTACAAATATAAATTTACGATATTGATGCGACTCTGTTGTATCGGCGAAAGCAGCTAACTTTAAGTCTTTTAGTGAAAATAAAATTAGCGGCATTATTCCGCGTACCCTCAAATCGAACAGTCAAGTCTTGTTTTAATTTTATATTTGGGTAATTGCTGGCTACCAGCGTTGGCTGGCAACAGAGCCGGTGGAGCACCAGGGCTCCGCGTGAAGTTAAGCGCCAGCAATTGCAGCAGCACTGCCTAATACGGCAGCACCGAGGGAGCGCTAGGGCTCCATGCTAGAGCGAGCGTTGGCCGGCAACAGAGCTGTGGAGCGCTAGGGCTCCACATCTTTACCGAGTGAGTGCAGGGGAACAAACAAATTAATTACAACCTCGACATGGCGACCGTGGGTCCGTCCCATTAAACGGCGGCCACTACACGTAACTAAAAGTTAAATCATGGGAAAAATTAAAATACAAAAAAAAAAGCGTGATGAACTGAACTTAATTTCGAGACCAAAAATCATTACCAACAACTATACGGTGGCGGTTAACTAAATCAAAAACTTTGAAAATTATTACAAAAACACAAAAAAAAATCTAAAAAACTACAAAAATCAAAAAAAAAGGTTAAAATACAAAAAATAAGAAAACATACATACACGTGCATACAGATGTGGAAAAAAACAACGAAAATGAACTTATATTAAACTAACTAAAAACTTGCAGTGCGCATACATACATAAATGTGCATATAGATGTGTAAAAAAAAAAAAAATAAATGTGGCAGTTATAATTAACTAAAATAGTAAAAAAAAGAACACAAAAACAAAAAAAAAATATAAAACATTCTAAACTAAAACTTTACAAAAGTAGTAGAAAACACATCAATGGCAAAAGAACAATAAAACCAAAAACAAAAAAAACAAAACTATAAAACTGCGACCGTGCTGTACCACCAATCCTAAGCACGACATAACGGCATCGCATACACGCCAGGCCTTAACGGCCTCGCTACTACGCCACGCCGTCCGTGCTGTACCACCAACGCAAACCGCTAGACCAGTGCAAACCGTTATAACGGCGTTAAAACCACGCCATCTACAAGTGTCGCTATGCCAAGGCGCGACACGCAGCGGTAAACAGCAACAATAACATATATACATATCGCTGAGCAGGGTGCGATAGCAGCGTAAAGCAAAAACCAACAGCTACAACTAGGACAGCACATCATTACATGGCAACATAACTACATAGCAAGCAATACGAGCAACGGTACGCAGGAAGGTGACTTCGTGGGATCTGATGGTATGAACATACATACCCTGCAGGGAGTGACGTTAGCTTATACCTAACTTTAGCCTGTTTACGCGAACACTAGTGCTAACTATTAACTGTGTATTTTGTTCGAAAAAAGCTAACTACTTTTGTGGGGCGATGGCCGCAAAAAAGTCAGACCTGGATACCTCTGCATTACATGTCAACTAACTTGTAACTAACTACTTTTGGACATAAAATATCAATAAGAAAAACAAAATATTTTTTTGTTTTTTTACTTTTTTATTTACTTATTTATTTACTTTATTTTATTACATTTCATATTTGTTTACATATTCTGCTCTGGGTGGCCCCATATTCGAACACCGTCAGACATAACTTCAAAATGATAGTATAAAATTTCGATCTTCCTTTTATTTGTCCTGAATATGAAAAAGAATCTGCGAAGTTCAGAAAAAAAGTGTATTGAAAGTAATTTTTGTATGAGGATATTTAATAGAAACTTGTAAAGAAAACCAACTCCCGATTGCGTCTGCATGACTCCTGCACGACTTTACAATTCACTTTAAGTTGGTTTTGTCATAGCTAATTAAAAGTGAGGTATTAATCGAAATCTCGCCAAAAAGCTAACTATAAGTTGGTTAGTTTTAACAATTGATAATTTTTCACTGTAGGGTACATATGTACTTTACTTTTTACCTAAACATTTTAAAATTAAATACAACTGTACACTATATTTGAATACAACAAAAAATGTTTCCTTATATATACTTATGTACATACTAACATACAGTTACATAATTAAAATTGTCAATATATACTTTATCATATACATATGTACATACTTGTGTTACTGTTTCTAATGGAATTTCAGAACTACAGTCGCGTGCAAATTATTGGTATCAAACCATCTTTCCTTTTTCAAGTGTTCTATAACTTAAAGTTTTTCTGACCTTCATACATAATTTTTCTTACATTTTCGAATTACACTAGCGTGTAAAATGTTTCCACGCAACATTTCTTAAAATTTAACAATTTAAAATTTTTAATAAACAGTGCCTTGCAAAGTGCTTAACGAAGACTTTTCCAAAACGTTTAATTCAAATTTTGATATTATTAAACAAAAATTTTTTTTCCTGTGCTTCGCCGAGTGAGTGCTGGAAACTTTTTTTTGAAATTTTGTATAAAATCAAACTCATCGATACATGTTTTTCTTATAAACCAGGCCGTGCCATCAGATTGCCACGTTTACAACTTTTTTTTTAAAACAAAGATTAAGGCCGATTGAATGCCAATTGTGAAAATTTTACTGTGCCTATAGTAGCGTACAAAATCCAACACCTTTTTGCCATAATTTAAATAAATCAAAATTTGTTTTTGTTAACATTTATGCCGGGTTTGTCAAATGCCAGATTTTGATACTGCATTTAAAGATTTGCGTACTGATTTTGCAAAAGTTACAAAACGTGTGTTACAAAGTCGTCCTATCTCAACAAAAGAGGGCAAGTTAGAGGAATATAAAGAATCTTTAATAAATTTTAATACTAGTAAATTCGAACTTCAAACAAAGGGTTAAGCCAAAGTCATTAATTGAAAGTTTGTCGCGGTGTAGAGAAAAGCTACTTAAGTGTTTTTATAAAATTGGTTGCAAAATAAAAGTACCAGAAGATTTCGACGAATTAATTACAGAAAACGTTTTGTATTCGGACGCAGATTCCGACGAAGAATTTGCTGACGCACGATCAACTGGCACCCTTGAAGTTTATAGTATTAAAAAGAGTCGTTCCTTGTCTTTTCTGGAAGATTTTTTGGGATTCGACGACCCCCCTTACGTAACCACTAGCTCACCAAATATTAACTTCTTTCAAAATAACCACGCAAAAATGGCAACACCTGAGCAAAAGAAATCATTTATAAGTTTATGCGCCTCGATTATAAGGGAAAATTATAGTGGTGACCCCCTATCACTTGCCTCGTTTATTGATAAAATTACCCTTATTGAAGAATTATCAGACGAAAGCCTCACTACAACATTTATTGCATTTTTGAAATCCAAACTTGAAGGTAAAGCTCGCGAGTCCCTACCAACGCAAATAAGCTCAGTTAGTCAAATTAAAGAAGCGCTGTCAAACAAAATAAAGCCAGATAACTCGAAAGTTGTCGCTGGTAAAATTGCAGCGATGAAAGTGCATAACAACAATTATTCAGATTTTGCGAAACAGGTAGAGGAGCTCGCAGATTCCCTGGAGCGTTCGCTTATTATTGAAGGAATGACACAAGCGAAAGCTCACGAGATGGCAGTTGAGCAAACAATAAATGTTTGTAGGCTCAACAGCCGTTCAGATATGGTGAAGTCCATACTAGCATCGTCAACCTTCAGCGACTCAAAAGATGTTGTAGCGAAGATGATTGTGGAGCATGACAATATAATAAAAGAGCGGCAGGTGTTGGCTTTTAGGTCACGTTCCATACGGACAAATAATTTTTGAGGAGGCTATAGATGCAGCAATAACTACAGATATCACAATAACAATTTTAGGTTTAACGGCAATTCAAATACACACAGCGGCAATACTAGCTATCGAAACAACAATCAGAATAGGATTAATAGTTAGTTATTTAAGAAGATGCGTAAGGTTAAGGAAATTAGTAGGTATAGCGATTTGTGCAACGAGTAAGAAGGGCGTAGGAAGGGCATATCGGTTTAATACAAGGGCCAGCCTTTGGTTCGCAAGCTTGTGAGTCCCATACCAAGACGTCTTAGGNATGCACTTTTTTAGTAGACTCTCAAGCAGACATTTCGCTTATAAAATTTTCAAGCCTAACAAGCAAATCCGCAATAAACAGCAATAACATTATTAAAATCACGGGCGTAACATCAGAAACGGTCCAAACCTTGGGCACAATAAATACAAATTTGGTAGTATCAGACATTTTCATTCCGCTTACTCTTCACGTTGTAAATGACAGCTTTAACATTCCTTCGGACGGCATACTCGGAAGAGACTTTTTAAAAATAAACAAATGCATAATTAACTATGCAAACGATAGCATAACCATTGGTTTGGGGACAGAAAGGATCAGCGTTTCTATTTTGCACGGTACTACTACCGACAGCTTAGTAATTCCACCTAAATGCGAAGTTTTTCGGTTATTTAAGTTGGGTAAATCCAAAAACCCTGTTTTTGTAGACGCTCAGGAAGTTTGTAGTGGTGTTTTTACAGCGAAATGTATCGTTGACACGAAAAACCCGATACTAAAACTGATAAACACTACGGACGAAGTAAAATACGTAAGAAATTTCAATATTCAAACCGAAGACATAACAAACTTCAACGTTTATAAAATTAACGAACCCACATCTGATCCGAAACGCATCGTAGAACTAAAATCGATTTTAGAAAAACAAGTACCCAATTATGCTAAAAATAAATTGCTTGATCTT